CCATCCTCAGGGTTACAATGGTATGGAGGATAAATAAGCAAAGCAAAATATATATGATATATAGCACGAAAAACAGAATCTGTTCTTATTAGATGCGATAAAACAAGCTTCCGACTACTTTCTTTGATGCCATTTTTCCTCTCTTTTAAGTGATTCAGCGTCACTCCATCCAATGTCGTGCCCAGATGAAATTGTATGCTCATCAAGAGCTAACTGATTATATTTTCCGAGTCTTACACATGATTGGCATGGTGTTCTTTCAGTGCGAACAATGCACACTTTGAATTTGTTTTTTTTAAAAATACGATAATTTGAGAATGATGTAGTGTTTCTATGGTAACCAAATACGCAGAAATTTTTATACTAAATGATGCTTTGATACTATGCACTATAATAGTTTTTAAACTATTAAAATAGTTTTAAGATGCAGTTCTGTTTTCCTATAAATAAACAAATTATGCATATCCCATATTCCTTTTAACTATATGGAGCAGCCATGTTAAGGCCTGGCTCAGCATTGAAACGAGGCTGTACTTTATCATGTTATAACACAAAGGGTTTTCAAGCAATTGAAGTGAAACTTTTATGGGAGATGTGGATTTAGATTGTGAGCAGTTTGCAATGTTATTATTTACATTTTACAAGTCACGTGACTTTTAAGGCTCCAAAACGGTTTTTCGAACATAGAACGTTTATCAATCGCGCTGAGACTTTAGATATTAGATGTACAGGTTAATTATATAAGCACGTCTTTTAATCCCACCCATAACTATTGTAAATATAGATAAGGGGAAAACTAATATGCAAATTAGGTCACGTGACCTGTTTCATCAAATAGCTCTTAAAATACTTTATGTTTAGAACATTAAAAGTCGCAGTTGTAAAGATCTCATAAAAAGCAAACATGTAAATCGAAAGAGCCATTTTATTCCCCATTTTGAATTGAAAAATTCGTTCAAGCCAAATGACGGATTTATCTTATCACTTGACACACCCCCAAAGTTAAAGACATTAAATAAAGGTTTATTTTTGCTGAACTTGATAATACAATTATGAATTATTTGAGGTTATGAAAATCTAGGAAAAACCAGCCCTTAATATAGCATGTAATGTGGATGATTAAAACGTTTCATATGGTTATGGTTACAACGACAGYTTCACACTTTGTCCAAAAAAATCTCACTTTCAATAAGTCAATTAAATTAAGAAAATAGGTTTTTTCGTTTTATTCCCGTTACTATTTTCTTYTTTTGTGTGGGTGTTTGTGTGAAAATAATACACATCTGTAACGTGATAATGTTGTACAAAGTAATACTAATATTC